TCAATGTAATTACCGTTAATCCATTCCGGCGTCTGCGGACCACGCGTCAGGGGCGGAAAAATGGCCGCGGACCACGCGGCAGGGCGGAAAAACGGCCGCGGACCACGCGGCAGGGCAGAAAAACGGCCGCGGACCACGCAGCAGGGCGGAAAAACGGCCGCGGACCACGCAGCTGGGCGGAAAAACGGCCGGGGACCACGCGGCAGGGCGGAAAAACGGCTGCGGACCACGTGGAACGGGCGGAAAATGGCCGCGGACCACGTGTCACGGCGGAAAATGGCCGCAGATCCGGTTCGTAACCTGAGGCAGAGTTCGTAACCCGAGGTACCACTGTACTGAGATATAGCTAATTTTGAAATATCATGAATATTAAGTTCACAATACACACCCTTATTTGTTAGACTCTTACCTTTCATTTGAGAGCTCAAGGCCATTCAGAAGACCGTTACTTCCAAATATTCTCTTACAACAATCCTATGGGATAATGGGCTGAGAGACAGTGATTGGCCCAAAGTGGCCCAGGAAGTTTCCATAGTTGAGGGTAGATTCAATCTGTTTTGTTCTGGACCTAGTCCAACACCTTTACCCACACTGATCCTTCTACACTTTAAACTGCTAATTAGCCCATTTGAGAGGTGAAGGCAGAGGTAAGGGTAAAAACGTCTGTAGTTCTCAGGCTTCCGAGAACTGCTTTCAAATAAACCAGATGTCTCCCAAAGCCAGCAACAGATTGACTAAGTATCTGTTAGCTCTGAAAGGGAGGAAGAAAAAAAAAACTAGAGTTCAAACTCTGTAGCACAGACCTACTTAAAGGTTCTGACTACTTTGTGCTACGGTGGGCAAATCAACTGCTGAATCTGTGGCTTCATTCTTGTCTCCAATAAAGCTTCTCATCTAGTCAAATCATACCTCAGAGGCTCCTGTCAAGACTAGCCTAATACTGAATAAAGGGTTAAGCATCCAGAAAGCTGAGATTTACTATCAAATCTTGGTATGAAGTCTGACAACTTAAAAGTTTCGTAACCCAGTAATTTTCTCACAGGCATTCATTTCCAGCGACATTTACCTTTTGAGCAATTGCAGAGAACTTGAGCACGTTGAGTGTTTCATCATATGCCGAGGGACTCTGGCTGACATTTACTATCATGCAGACCTTCCCTTTCCCACTGAAGAAACCTTGAAAAAAATGAGTGAGCTTGCTTTCCCGAAATGGAATGTGCTGCTGCAGCCTGGAATGAAGCATGAGATTTTTTTTTTTTACAATTACAGCGTGATCTAAACATACAGAAAGTTAGTTGCAAACCTTTACTGCAGAAATAAGTGCAAAACTCATTCATATAAATAGGCTGAGGGTTCATCCAACTTTGGTCCTGATCGAAGTAAATGAAGGTGGAGAAACACAACGGATAGAGTTCTTTCTATCACACATCCCAGAGAGTTAAGATACTGTGGACGTGGATGGCGACTGAAACAAGTTTTTTCTGCTATTTTTCACTTAGACATTGTGAGAGAAAAATGCTAGTGGCCTAAAACTTATTTTAATATAGATATATGTTGTTTAATCACATTTAAACATAAAAGCAAGGGCTATCTTGGAGATGACCTTTGGGG